TCCCATTTGCTGAATCTGCCAGTTTCCTCAGGCTGACTTTTGATAATGGCTATATATTCATATTCAGTGGTGTGCCCATATCCACAGTCTGCAAATCAGATGTCTCCTAAGTATGCTGAGTGATACCTCATGGGGAGCTGACCCATTTGTATTTTGTAGTTATGTGGACCACTCATCCACGCAGTTTGGGACTATAACATATGGATCAGCAATTTCCTCAATTCCGAGACTCCTTAACAGTATCCCCCACTATGGTATCTGTATTTCCACAGGTACAAACCATACTAACTGCCTTCTAGCTGATGCCTAAAGTTTGGGGTATCTCAACCCAACCATCCTGCTGAAGAATTATGCAGCCCAGATATCATTCTTCATATATTCTCCAAACATCTCTCCCCAGCCTCCTGGTATTTGATTTTTAAATCTTCTTTAAAATTTTTAAATCTAATTCTTGAAATGTGCTTTCCTATCCCTGTGAAACTCCAAAGCAACCACACTTCCTTTTGGAAACTCTTTCGTCCCAACATTGACTTCAGACCCTCCAACCTCCCCAAATGACTTGCCCCTTGTATACCAGATTGAGTTTCATGGTATAGGGATGGCATATCCTGATTAAACTTTCATATTCACTAATGGCTCATCTTCCAATAATGCAGTGGCATGCAGGTTTCATTGTAGTAGGGTCATCAAATCATTTCGAATCCAGTCTTGTGTAGTGTATTCACTTCGGAAATGTAAGCCCTTAAATATATTGAATAAATGATAGTGAGCAGTTCTCTGCCCTAGTTCTCAGAGCTCTCTTCAAGCCTCTCCCTCTTCCCTTCAGATTACCTAAAATACAACAACTGATTTATTATTTTCTCACCGCTGTGATCTAGTTTTTTGTTGCATTCGAGGACACATGGAAATTACTGGCAATAAATTAGCTGACCAGGCTGCTAAAATAGCTATTGGGAAGTCTCATGTTGACATTCCTAGGGTCCCATCAGCAGATATAAAAGCATATCTACAATACTACAATCTTGGTGCATGCTAGGCAGAGTGACACAAAGCCACTTTCAAACGAAGGGCAATTAAAGATTGTGTAAAGCTTTTGTTCTTGTGCTGCTATGTGTAGGAACTAATTGTAAAGCATCTTCACAATCAGCCTTTGCCACTTTTTGTATAGCTTTCACACGTGTGAGGTGAACCTCCCTCCATCTGCGACACATGTAAAATGGTCATTTCTGTGGAATATGTCCTTTCTACATTGTGTGAAATTGGCTGCCCGCACTGACTCTGTCTGGGTATTTCTTAAAGCAAGCTCTCTAAGAGGTACTTGGCAACAACCAGTCCACACTCTGAAACCTTTTCTTTCTGAAAATTAACTATACCATTTGGTTTGAGAGAAAAGAGCAATATAATTTTTCGTTATCTTACTTGGTCTTATATTTCTTATCTTTTTACGATTCCTGCACTTCTGTCTCTCTCCTTCTTTTTCTCTCTCTCCCCCCTTCCCTCTCTTTATCTCTTCATCTCTCTCTAGCTGTGTCTCCTAGTTTTAAATTATGACATGAACCCCAATGACCATAGCTGTTGAAGTTCTCTTTATACCTTAATCACTTGATTCAAAGCCTGACAAATTAAACAATTCCATCTTTGTTGCCAAGTTTGGATTCTTCTTCCATGAGAAGGTTTGAAAAAAAATTTCAATTTTTCCAACTCCTCCCTTGATTTTTCACTTCTCAGGCTAATGTTTTTTGAGCTGGAGTTAGCTTTGCCTAGTCTTAGAGCCCACTTTTATTTAAAGCCTTTGTATTTGAATTTATTAAATAGTTCTCCTTGAAAGTACTCTTACTTTTATTCTTTATTATCATATGTTCTCTAGCTTATTCAATCAGGAAATACCACTTTGTTTTTCTTCAAAGTAGTGTCTGCCCAGTGTTTCCAGTCTCAAACAATACTTTCTTGCTCTAGATTTATAATTCTACATATTTCCCCCTTTCTTTTATCTTCATTTTTCTTAGGAATTGAAAATTCAGCAGGTTTAGCACAAGGTATTTTTAGCGTGTTTTACATCTGCATCCATATCAATTTTAGTATTTGTAAGATGGCAGAATTTTCTATTAATGATTTTAAGGTATTCTAACAGAACAATATATGTAAATGGATTATTTCACAGCAATATAAAAGGTGCTGAGAGCTTTCCCATAGTATCAAGAACTCTATAAAAAAATATTGTTTAACAGGTTTTGCAAGTGGACTACTAACTTATTAGGTACTTTAAAATCGCTAAATTTGAAACAGATATATACATATTAAAAATGTTAAATAGAGTAGTAATTTCTGTGATGGGGGAATGAAAATTAATCTTCAGAAATATCTCTGATCAGTATTAATTTTAATCCCAATGCCCTTATTATTTTGTGAAGCTAACTACTATTAGTACATTTGCTGTCGGGTCGTTCTGTTTATGGCTAAATAGACTCTGTACACTAGTAACAGAAATCGTAGTAACTAACCTTTCCTTGGTTACAGTTTTTCTCTCAATTTGCCATTTTGGCAATTTATCTTTGCTTAATCAAAAAATTAAAAATTCACTCTGAAGTTGTTATGACCATGTACAGAATCCAATAAATTTTCACATTCTACATTTTTTAATTGTATGAAAGTACTGGGAGTGTAACAACTTTGAAGGAATTTTTGCTGTGCGCATACAAAAAACACATTAATGATTAAAACCATTGCAAGTAGTTACTTACCTTTAGCGAAAGGTGGTTATCTAAAGCTTCATTCACAAATATCAATGACGAGTTCTCTTGAGAGAAAGTTCTGGAAAGAAATGAGAATGCCAGTTAAATTTTTTTAAAAAGATTTTTTTACAAGCCCCTGAAGACATATTAACACTTAGAAAATTTAATATCTGCAAATCAATAATTATTACAGTTCAATGGTCTTAGTCTTCCTCATAATTTAAATACATCAGTCAAACCTGACTAAGAGACATTTCAAGGGATACACATTTTATTATCATTTAAAAGGATATCTCTCATATTAAAGTTAAAAAAGTATTTGTCTTGCAGAGAAATTCACTTGGGCAGATTCAAATCTCGTTTGTTTTAGTTACAAAGGTGAAAGATAATCAAAAATGCAATTCTTTTACAAGAAACTTTATAGAATGTATCATTTATATTGTTTGTTGGTGATTTTAATTTATCCAATTTTTGTAAAGTATTGACAATGATCATTTGTTAATGAAATTTGATTTGCAAAGCTTGAAATCAAGAGGAGAGTTGTATCAATGATTATGATTTTTAAAATGGTAGAAAACTTGATAGATGTTTCCAATATCTTACCTCAAATATCAATGTCAGTTCTCTATGGGAGACCATGATATTTTTATATGCCATGTTTATCTAATACTGTACTTTATTATTCACCATTGTATAAAAGTATGACTAAAAGTAATAATTTCATAAGTAATTATTCTTGTGAATTGAATGTTTTTTAGTGATTCTTTGTATACACTTATACATGTAGCAACTGACTACTTCAGTACCATCAGTAATTAATATTCCTTTTTGTAATAATCCTGTAATCAGGGAAACCTGCTAGATTTAACTTTATGTAAATAAATAAATAAACATGTTATGTATTGCATTTTGCCAGTCCATGTAAACCGAAAATAAAAAGTGAATATAAAAAGAATAGATTTTGGCATATTAAATTGTTTACAAAATACACAAGGCTTGTGTTTATCATATTCACACCGTACCTTTCGTAATCACTGGCAATGAATTAACTGTTCCTTCAACATTTACTATGTGCAAATAATGCATTGATTGTTCTTTCTGCGTGTTCTACCCACTGTCCTTCAACAATTTTCAGTTAGTAAATATAAATACAAATTAAATCAATAGAAACACTCAAAATTTTGAAAAATGCAATTTTTTTTAAAGAAATCAAAGAATGACAAGTTCTTTGTTTGCTGACATAAGAACAATGTGGATGAAAAAGCAGGTTTTTCTTATAGACGTGTCAGGACTTCATAATTTTTCTCACTATTAGAAGTTTCTTTCTTATCCAGGTTTAACTGAACTTATATTATTTTGTATTTACATTTTCAATGCAAAAATTCTAGTGAAGCAAAATTATTTTTTTAATTTTTATAATCTGTGTTTATTTTACTTGTTCGAAAATGAACATCAGCTTCAAAATGTTAGACCATTTTCAACATAAATGGAGAAACAGAGTACTGTTTCTCAAGCATGGATCTATAGCCCATGTCTCATTACTCTGGCAGAGAGTTGTGATGAGCACTGCTATGTTGATTTGATGAATGAGACAACTGATGATATGTTCATCAGGTGTCTCATTTATACCATTTAACTAAAATTGTTCTGTACATTTGAGCCTGCTTCACAACATACAGGATGGACAGATATGTCCATTTTGCCATCCTGTATATTGTGATGCAGGCTCAAATGTGTCCTGAAACCAGTATGGAAACTGTTCTTACATGTGCAATTGTAAACAACAGTTAACATAAAATTATATTTATTATTTCAATATTTTATAGAAAATAGTTGTTTCAACAAAATTGAAAATTCATTGAAACTAGGCTTTAAGAGAGAAGAGTGCAACCGTCAAGAAAATAATATATTTTACTCAATAATAACAGTTTATTATTTTGTAATAAAAATCTTTCATGTTTTAAGAATAGCATGTGTTGCATTACCTCAGGACTGAATGTGTAAAAGTTCATTGATATTTAGATCTTCTCTTTGTGTCCTCCCTACGTATGTATTAGAAGTATTTTCTCCACTAATATTTTTCTTAAATTTTCTTAATGACTTGCATTGAGATTATTGAAGAATAGAAATGCAGGGAGTAGTGACTTTTACAACTAAATGTAATGTAATAAAGAAAGACTCTTTCATTCCTTTCCCTTATCTAATTGGTGGTTCATGTAAAGCTTGAAGGTTTTTTTATTGTTTGTCAACATATTGTATGTATTGCAGAAAGTTCTTGTTCCTGTTCTGAAGACAATTCGTTCTCCTCCGGATTTTGTAGAAGAATACAAGAATGAGTATGGGTACATGGGGCCAGCTCTTCATACAGCAGTAGTGAAGGCTCGTTCCCAACCTTCTGCCAACTCCACTTCAGGTGCCTCTGGTTCATCTGGGGGGTCTACGAGTGGTGGTGGAGGTAGTGGAGGCTCTGCAGTTGTGGGTGGTAATGCACCAGGTGTTTCATCTGGAATGGCAGCTTCACGGACAGTAGTGAATCAACCTGCTCTTGTACAAACTGGTGAGTTTGGTGATTGTTATTAAATGTACTCTGAACTTCTATGAGGACTTCTTCTTGTTTTGAGGACTATGTCTGCAGTTCTGATTAGTTCCCTATTTTTGTCATATAAGAGGACCATAGATATAAAAACCTCCATTGTAACTGCATGAAAAGGACCCCTGTAACATTTAAGAAAATGATAAGGATAATTATGTGAGTAGACTGCTGGACTGAAAATGAGGCACTTTAAGGAAACCATACAATAATTTAACCTTTTACCAGTGACGAAAAATACTGAACATGGATGATAACCTTTGAGATTTGGTCAGTTCCATTAATTATGGGGAGCAATGGTGCAATGGTGTCCAAATGGAAATTTAATGCGGCGTATGCAGGTGACCACTTTCTGTGGAATGGAGTCACACAGGTCAAATATCCCACGCTGTATCATCATAACTAATGGCCCTAACGCACCACCAGGTGTAGGAGCCCCATGGTTTTCGTGATGACGTTTACTCGCCACAGAGGCGAAGTTTATCAGGTCGCTAAAGTGGAGAAAAGTAGGCTACGCTATTTCGGCACCCGCTCTTGACATTGGGTACATTATACGAATGTGATGTAGCATACGATGACATGATTCGGAGCGATAGACGGCGCGTTTCACTGATCTGTATGGTGTCTGTGTACAGAGCGAGCCATTTCATTAAAAAAAAACAGCGTTCTTTATAAAATGAGCAATAAAATTTTAAAATTTTAATAAATAACCTCAGAAGCATAGATTTACGTAAAGTTTATTGTAATTTTCCAATTTTGTTGTAGCCTGTTTGTCACCAATGCATGTATCCAAGACTCGAAACACTCTTGTATACTTCTATTTATAGTGTCGCTTCAAGGCATGCTGGACAGAGAGGGGACATTGTCATGTAATTGGAAGCTTCGTTACGATTACAACTTTTGGTATTGTAGCCACCGATTGGATGACAGGGACCCCCCCGGCCTTTCAACTCATGGCCTTGAGACACCACTAAATAAGTCAAAGTATAGACCGCGAAGGTCTTACTCTTGACATTATTTGCAAACAGCAAATGCACTGCAACTTAGCTGGCTGGTGGGATAAGGTTCTGATAGCTCGATCCAGAGAAGTCCTAATATTGTAATTCAGAGACGCATCCAGAGACAAATTTTGGGAGGGGAAATTCAAAATGTTTTGTTCGAATGTGTCATATTGCATATTTTGTAAAATGTTGCAGGCTACACTCAGCTCATACTATGATTAGATTTTATTAGTTTTAGTGATTTTCCAAAAATATTTTTGCTTGAAAGTTTCTTGACAATTTAAAATGAATAGTTACGGTACTGAAAATTATTAGGGGTGAAGTTCCCTCCCCGTGCATTCGCACCTGTGTAATTTCAGGTGGTAAAAAGCACACTAGGGCGTTCCTCGTAATACTAGCAATAAGCGATTCCTTTACCATTTTTTTCAGAATTATTCGAGAGCAGATTTCCGTAGAAAGTTGTTTTTGTAATTTTTCGATTTCGTCATAACCAATACATCATTGCATCTTTATGCGCTTTTCCAAGACTCAAAGTCCTGTGCAGTCTCGGGAGGTCATTAGCGTTATTTGTAAATAGCGAATTGTCATGGCCGGCTTGCGTGCCAAGTTTCTGACAACCTAAAATTGAGCACGGTCGCGGGGCAGCGCGCTGTACAGATCTGTTGTAAGTTGCACCCCAATTCTGTCATTTCATGCTTAAAAATTTAAGTATGACCCATTATAAGCACGCCCTTCTGAACGTTTTAAAAGTAGAAAAATTGTCAAGAAATGTCCATTGGAACACTGCAGACTGAGTTGTTGTAGTGCCACCAAAATGTGTGATGGTTGATTGGCTGGTGCTTTTCTCCCAATACACGTTTCCACACTCGGTAGATTGATCTCTGTTTCCAATGTTAGGTCTTGGGGGGAAAGGGGTGTCCATGGAGTCATGATCTTCCCCCAAATCTAGTTTAAAAAGTCTATAATTTTTGAAGAAAAGCAATATTAAACATACAGATCAAATCCTTGATTTAGAATATTGTCCATGCAGATAGAATTAAATAGCTAATAAATTAGAATTATGTTGTTATGCAAAGGGCGAGTGCAAATGCATAAAGTCCATCAACTAAATCTTCTTTTAAACAAAACAGAATAGCAATTCTTTAATCTGGAGAAACAGCTTCTTAATTCTTTATCTTCATAATGCTTTTGAAAGGTCACTACATAATTTTTAAATTGATTCACATTCCAAGCAGCCTGAGTGCCCCTCCCCATGAATGCCAATATCCACTCTTGTACAGTGCTGTCCAGTGTCACCTACATGAGCATTCCTACCTACATTGGATCTACAACCTGTCCTGAGCATTCACACTATACATCCTAAATGTAAGGTTTCCAAATGCTGAAATGAAGATCTATTAAACATGACGCAAACTGCGAAGTGGGATATTTGTATTAATATCAGATTCTGTGCTCTCAGTAGCTGTTCCGTTTTTATCATTACCAAAGCACCAGTGTATCAGGTCTGTGCCAGAAATACATTTCTGACAACTTTGTAATAATTTACAACAATTCTTTGATTGAATTTCTTGCATGGTGGTGAATACATATATTTAAACATTTTAAGAACAATGTCTGACTGGCTAACTTTTAAAATATTTTTTTAAAGAAATTTTGCTTGTCTGTGGGCAATTATATTGAAAAATTAATTAGGCATGCTTCTCAAGAGTATCATTTCTGTTGTTAGTAAGCTAAGACAGGACCAGCATTATTTTTCACATTAGTTAGGTTTCACAAGAAAAATGTAATACTTCAATACAGTAGCTTTCCATTCAATCCTGCTTATTTAAGTGACTTCCATGCGTGCCAGAATTGGTTGCAATGCTAATTGTAATGTTCTAAAATAAATCTTTCTTTTTCCAGCATTATTGTTCAATGTATGCATTTTGATTACAGGTGCTTCCCAAGGTGGCCGTACATTTGTCATGAGCAATTCTGGCCCTAGCAGAACTATGGTGGCTCCAAGCAATGCCTCCAAGTATGTGTTAGTGACATCAAGAAACCCATCAGCTAATCAGGTGTGTATGCACTATTTAGTTAAAACATGAATATTTAGAAATAGGAATCAGAGATTTATTTATTTATTAGAAACAGTAAAAACTGTGTTATGTTTGGGGAGTATAATCTCCGCACATTTCTCGAGCTCTGGAATTCCTACCCTCCCTCTTTTACTACTCATAGTTGAATTGGGAATAAAATAAGACCTTAAAATTATAAAAAATTCAAGAGAGTTTGAAAGAATGGTAAAGTTTTGCTTCTCTGAAGAAGCAATATTGTGTGAAATTCCTTTGTTACAAAGCAGATGAGAAAGATATTTACTCGTAAAATGTTTAATCACAAATATTCTGGATAGTCTACCTTTTTAAAAATATCATGCTTAAATAGCTGTAATGTCATGAAATGAAAATTTTTATAGGCCTAGCTGCTCAATAATAATTTTCACTGTATTTAAATCTTCATTCATGTATCATTTCATAAAACTTGTTATAATATTCCACCACGGTCTTTCTCATTGCCCTTTTTAAAGCAGGAAGATGGCTGGAAAGTGCAGTGATAGTGTGCATTGTGTACAATGTAAAGTGCTTTCCAGGCAGTGTTGTGGTAAGCAGATTCTTGTAAATTGCGGGAAAATTGAAATTACACTAACATAAAAGAAGGATATTTATATTATGACTATATGAAAACTTATTGGTCTGACAAGAAATGTTTGAAATGCCCGGAAAACGTAAATTGCAGGAACATAAAAGCAGGGTTTTATTGTATTTTGATGTTTTCCCAATGAATAATCAGCTTTTTTGCCACAGGCTATATATATCAGTAACTACAGACTAGTGTTGGACTGACTATAATGTATTTAACAAATTTATTCTTTTGTCACCAGACTATACAACCACCAGCATCCCCAGCCCCGCCTAGTGGAGCTACTGTGGTGAAGTTCGTGACATCAGCACAGTCCATTGTGACACAGAAGGTGAGTTCGGTTGCGTGAGCCGGCTCGCAGATGACCAAGCTGGTGGTGGTGTGCATGAACAACTCTACAGCTACCACCACCACTACCACGAGCACAAGCTTTATGGCACAGGTAAGTGTGGTGATGTGTGTAGCAGGCAGGATGGTGATCCAGAACTGGATGAGGATCTGCTGGGCTTAAACGAGACTTCTTGATAGGTCTTATAAAGTAAATGCAAGTATGTCAATAATAATATCTTGACTTGTCTAAAGAAATACTAATTTGTCTTTCTTTTTTCCTTTTCTTTTTTAGTACGTTATGTTTCTGTAGCTTTTTATTCATTCATTTATTGTTTCTTTTTTTAAGAAAAACACTAAAATTAAAACTCATCACTGCATTTAGAAATTACTTGAATTTGCTAACTTTCTTTCCTAAGAGTTCATTGGATTTTCACTGTTTCCTATGTGGGTAAATTGAAAATCTGTGATTTACATTGAGTGTCAAGGGGCAGCATTGAAAGTTAAGGTTCTACAAACTTACATTTTAGTTGTCTCAAAAAATAATTCAGTAAGCAAGAAAAATGGAAATTATAATCAAAAAATTGGAAGAAAAAGGCACTAATACGTCAATACATTTATATTTACAATAGCGGAACTTTAAAAAAAATAATTATAATGAAGGAAAATTAATGAATTTTGCATCCTTGTTTGGCGAATTATAGATACAGTTATTAATATACAGTGAAACATCTAACAGATTTAACAGATTTCTTTGTATTATGGGCAATTTTTAATCCCCTGACTGCTTACTAATGAGTTTTATGTATATTTTAACGTGTGTTTAGCAGACTCTCCCTAAAATGGACACAGATGGGTATTTAGCTCAGTATTTGCTTTGTTTGATCTCTCTGAGATTAATAGCAGATAGAAAACATGGCTGTTTCAAAAAAACTTCTAATAGTCATGTTTACCACCATGTTTTTCCTCAGTAGTTTTCCTCAAATCATTCCTACAAACAATCTGTCTCAATATTGATAATACCTTATGTGAATGGTTTTGCCAAGCTCTTGTGGCAGAAATTCCCATTTCCAGATCTGTTATAAGAAAAAAGTGTTTAGAGTTGTTAAAAGTATAAGATCTAGTGATTTTAAAGCATCAGTGAGTGGCACAGTATTTCCTGGAAAAGTGTCAATGGGAAAAGTGGGTCTGTTGATAATGGTTGTGATGGAATGAACAATTAAACAAAGATTTACATGGTGATTACGTTCCAAAATATATAAACAACTGTGACAATTGGTTCATTTATTAAAGCCCTTCCTGAAAAGACATTGAGTCTTAAAAATGAAAACCGTCTAGGTGGGAACATTTCAAAAGAAAGACGCAACTGCTGTTGTGGGCAATTATAGTGATGCACAAAATTATGGAAATGCAGGAAAACCTTGCAGTTTTAAAAAAAGTTAACTTGAATAATATAAATGAAGACATGAACCCTTTATCTATGAAAATTATAATCTCACCCTCACATTCAACTCTATATCATGAAAATAATTTTGCTACCACCAAATACAATAGTCTGGCAGACTGTAAATCAGGAAATAGTCAAAAAATTTAATGTTAACTGTGTGAGTTAGTGTTTTTAGAGATCTCTTCACAAACGTGGACAGTGCAAAATGTTCCTGTTACCTTGCAAAAAAAATCACTGAATTGGATGCCATTCAGTGGATTTCCTCTTCAATTACATGAAATCAAAAAGTCAGAGCCAAGAATTATTTTGTTAAATAAGGATTCGGAAAACCTTTGAAAGCTGTTGGTAGCAGCACGTGTCAAAATGTAAAGCCAGAACTACATAAACCTTCGAAAATGTACTATCCTTTTAATGATTTATCATAATAAACCATCTCCAAACACATGATTATGATTTTGTGGATATCGATGGCAAAATTTGTGATAATCAAAATGTTTCAACCGAGGTTGAACATGAAAAGATGGACCCCTGATATCGTCAAATCTTGTCGCATTAAATCATGCTTGAAAAAGTGGATCACTTTAGTTATTTAATAATAATTCTCTTGTAGGTACGTCCTATGATTTGTGTACTCCGACACATATATAACAGCAAGAAAGGATTTGAACTCTTCCAAAGTTTCGTTTTCCCGTGTTTTATTTTCGGCAGCAGCTACACGTGCAGCCTCCTCTACCACGTGGTGTAGCCAGAATCCTTGTTTGCGAGTCTTTGATACCGAAAAATCAATTAACGGCAAAACGTAAGTCCGTCCATCAACACCTCTAGCACCTAAACTATCCTCAACGTGAGGCGCCGTGATTTTCAAAAACTTTCTTGGAAATGTTGGGGTACTTTACGTGAAGTACCCAGCGGAAAACTGCTCCAAATTTTTTCTTTAAATTTCTTGTAAGAATAAAGTAAAATTCCCTTATCAAGGCGGCATAGATCCGAGTATAATAACTGGATTTTCGAAAATTTCAATCTGTCTGATTTATTTTCGGCGTCTTCCTAAAAGTACATTATTGAAGACAAAGAATTTCCCTTCAAATAAAATTTGTTGTCAATAGTTCTTTCATTAGGGTCATGCATATTTCTTTGAAAATTTTAGTTGTTTTCACGCAATATTGCGAGGAATATGTGCAATTTTAAAAAATTACAAAAACAAGATTTTCTCAAAAACTTCAAATTTGTTCTTTAAATTTTTGGTGGATATAGTGCTAAATTTACTCTATAAGATGACTTAAACGCCATATTGCTCCATTATTTTGTTTTTTCAAATATGTAATTTTTTTTACTTCTCTCATGTCATCAATATTTATATTAGCGGCAATTCGTTCACATTATATTTACTTTCCCGTATACGTACATATATTCGGAGTAATGTACATAGTATCTGGAAACTTATGTAATGCTGTGGAAAATCGATTTCGAGATTTCAACGGAAGTACGCCTTTCTGGGTCTCCTGAAACCGTGAAAGTTGTTTTTTCCTAAACATCCGTCCATGAACACCATACCGCCTAAACCATACATAGGATTTTTTTCCGAAATAGATATTACCCCGTCTGTCTGGCTCCAGTCGAGGCGCCGCGATTTTGAAAATCTTTCATTTGGGGGTACTTTTACATGAAGCTCGCCAGACATTTTCAAAATTCTTTTAAAAACTGCTCCAAATTTTTTATTTAAATTTCTTGTAGAAATAAGAGTAAAATACACTTGTGGTGGCATAGGTCCGATTTTCACGGTTAACTCTAAATTTTCGAAAATTGCAGAAGTTTGAATTTTTTCGGCGTCTTCCTGCAACTACATACTGAAGATTGACGTTTTTCCATCACATACAATGTTGTCCATAATTTCTTCTTTCATTAAGGTCATGTAACGGTTTTTTAATGTAGTTTTTGGGCAATATTGCGTGAAAAATTTTCAATTAAAAAAAATTGATCAAAAGAATTCTCAAAAAAAGCTCCCCATTTTTTCTTTAAACTTTTGGTAGTGATAGTGCCTAATGTACTCTATGAGATGACATAAACATCAATTTGTTCTATTCTTTTGTTGTTTTTTTTCAAAAATTACAAAAATGTGATTTTTTTGACATCTCTCACGTCATTAATATTTCATTAGCGGCTATTTGTTTACATTCTATTTATGGGAAAATGTATTTTAAATAATGTTGTATAAAGTTTTTTGAAAACAGAAGTTTTCTGTGAAATAGAGCTCAAACTTTCGCATTTGCAGAAACGCTCAAACATCTTTTCCCAAAAAGGCTCCAAATTTGTTCTATTAACTTTTCGAGGAGATAGTGCAATAACATCCAACAGCATGCGTTGTTTATCCAAAGTAGTTCTGATGAATATTTTTATGTAATTTTTCTGTTTTTAGGGCATTTTTAAAGGATTTTATTGGTCGTTTTTGGCAGTCATCAAAATCCGCCCCTACTGATTAATAATCATAAACATTGTCTAATATATAATTTTGAATATTACTTTAAAACAAAATTACATTTGACATTACGTTTGTATTTGAAAAGATGGCCATTTTGATGTTAATAGCGTTGAAGTTAAAAGCAAATATATCCCAAATAAAAACATACCTTGTATGTAAATACTATTTTGATTTGTAGACCAAAGTATACTTAATCCAATTCATTTTATTCTAGAATGCTGGGACAACTCGGAGCTGATTAATTTAGACAAAAGTAAATTCTACAAACGCAAAAAATTGCGCATGGCGTAAAACAAAAACAGACGCCATTTTTAAACCAGGTACAATAAAATAAACTAGTGGTGCTACATAATGACACAGACTTGCCCGTATTATTTTTCTATGTTCTTTGGTCCCCGCTTGCTACACGAACTTGCTGCATACTTTTGCCAGCTGCCATCTATCGCCACCAAAAATACATTTTTTGAAAGTTTGTTAAGTTTTCATTTTCCTAATAGTAGAACGGACTTATTATTTTAAGAACATTAAAGAACAGTAAAACCTAGTTAAAATGGCAATTTTCTCTGAAAAATTTGGAGCCGTTTTTAAGAAATGGCGTTTAAGCTCTAATGTAAATTAGAAATTTCAAATTCTTTTTCCAAGAAAAGTTATGAGTTTTTGAAAAACTTCATTCAAAGTCATTTTAAGCATAGTAACTCTCATCTACAATAGTGTTTAAAAATTGCGGGAAATGTGCATATTAACTGCGTGACATCTTACAAATAAATTACATTAGTGTAATTTTCGAAGGAAAAAAAAGGCCTGAAAAGAACTTTGTCGTATTAAAGAGTGCAATTAGCACTACCCGTTGGAAAAGTTTGAAGGCAAAATTTGGTACCGCTTGTGAGAAAATGGCGTTTGAGTGTTTCTGAAAATACGGGATTTTGAGATAGTTTTTACAGAAAACTGTGGAGTTTTTGAGAAACTTTAAAGTACATGTACTCATAAATACAAGAATTGTAACAAATTGCAATTAGTATAAATATTAACGCCGTGAGTGAGTAGTCATCAAAATTTTTGTAATTTTTGAAAAACAACAAAGAATAGAGCAATATGGCGTTTATATCATCTTACAGAGAACATTATAACACTATTCAAACCAAAATTTGAAAGAAAAAGTTTGGAGCTGTTCTTGAGATTATCTTGTTTTTGTATTTTTTTTTAAATTGCTGATATTGCGCGAAAAATACTAAAATTTTCAAAAGAATGTTCATGACATTCATTAAAGTTCACTATGGAGTACAAATTTTAATTGAAAGAAAAATGTATTTTTAATTTTATAATTGTAGTAAGATGCTTGAAAAATTTTTAAATTTTTGAAAATTCAGAGTTAATCTTGAAAATCGGACCAATACGCCTTTGTATTTAAATCTATTCTAACAAAATATTTAAAGAAAAAAAATTGAAGCCATTTTTGAGAAAATTTTTAAAAATGTGCAGGTGGCATCATGTAAAGTACCCCCAATTTTGAATAAAGTTTTGGACTCTTGCGGCACATGGAGTGGAGCCAGATTGATGGGGAAATATTCGTTTTTGAAAAAAATCCATGGTATGATTTAGGCGCTAGTGGTCTGCACAGACTGGCAGACAGATGTTTTGAGGGGGAGAAAAAGAAGAAAAAAGAAAAAGAAAACGTTTTTGGTATCAGGGAACCCCAAAACGTGTATTTGCGTGCCAAAACGTGTACAGGAAAGAAAAAATTAAAGATTTGGAGGAGCCGAAACATGGAAATTTATGTACAAAGTTGTGCGGTTTTTCAAATATCTTGTTTTTGTAATTTTTTAAAATACACGTAATATTGCGCTAAACATTTTTCTAAAAAATGTAAATGATCTGAAAGAATGAAGAAATTTAGTGTCAATAAACCTAATTTCAAGGAAAAATATCTATCTTTAATTTTGTAGTTGTAGGAAGACCTGAAAAAATTTCATACTTTTGAAATTTTCGAAAATTCAGAGTTAACTGTGAAAATTGGACCTATGCCACCTTTATAAGTCTATGTTATTCTTATTTCTTACAAGAAATGTAAAGAACAAATTTTGAAGGAAATGAAGTGGAGAGTCACCCCTGGGAGGTTTGATAGATGTTGTTTCTTTTATAAGTTTTTATTTAAAATATTATTCATGTTTAACCTTTTCAAGATGTTAGTAAATAAATTCAAAACGATATGAGTCACCCAATTTTTTCTGCCAATATACTCTTTAATACATGCAGGTTGTAACTCTTTTATTACCTGCTACATTTGTGTTGACATTCTGTAAGTAGAAGCAGTTATCCAGGAAGGACTTACTTAAAAATATTTTCTAATAAACATGTATATGGGAGTACAATTTTTTTAAACTCCAATCCAAATTCATTTTTGTAAACATTCAATATCTGATTATGTATTATCTGTTGTAACTAAGTATTCTTCATGTCACAAAATATACTCTCTTCTGAAGTGATATACACTGTTTCAGAATTAATATATTACACTGTTTGTTTAAATAGGGTTTTATTTTATTAATTTATTTACTTTATTTTCATTGGTGTACTTACAAATAATAAAAATATTGTGGAGGGACGGTAAAATATGAGAGACTGAAATATTTTAAGAAACTATTGAAAACTGTTCTTGCTTGATGTATACTTTTTCAGCTGGAATGGATCTTTTACAAACTTCATTTTTATCAATTTCTTTACTACATCAAACTCCATCTCTTTTTTTCCTCATACTTTTTGTCCTTATTTCTATTTTTTCTTTTTTTTAGAGCATATTCAATTGCTGCAGTCAAATCAATATTCCTTCATATAAGTTTAATTTTAAGAAAATTATTGTTGTTGGTTTTTACTAAATGCTTTCTGTTTTCTTATTTCCAGGCCACACCATCTCCAGGTCTGAACATGAAGTCAGTGTTTGTCGCCCAATCATCGCAAGGAATCAAAATTGAATCAAACATCAATTCTGATGAAATGCTGGGTCCATGAGCAAGAACTCCGAATGTTGCATTTTAACTATCGCCAATATTTGGCACTTGTCAGCTTCACAGTGAAATATCATTCATCACCATCAAAAACATTTTCCATACAATAAAAAATTATATTAAAACAGAATTTATGTTTAATGATTATTTTCTCCCATGAATTTTTGTTTTATCAGACACGATACAAGATAGCTGGAAAATTACTGCATAATTTTAATCTATTGCCTGCCCTTCAAATGTTTTTCTCATTTTATTTGTATCAAACAATTTGATTAGATGAGTTATTGAAAACATTGAGTTGTTGGTGGTGGGGATTAAATATCAGTTCACTGAAAGGATTATTAATTAGTCAAGTATTTCATGAAAAAAGAAAATAATATCTTTCACATGAATTCACAACATTTGCTGTACCCTCTGTTAAAGAATATGAACAACTGTATGAAACTATATGGTTTAAAAGGATAAGTGAATATTAGTAAATGCTTTAGAATCTACAAATTACATATTTTTTTATGCATTAGATGGCATTTGTGAAATACAATTCTCATATTGGGAGATTTGTTATTTTTGGCAGATAAAAACTGTCTACATTTTTTTAGTTTTAGAAATACAATCAAATGCCCAAAATTCATTAACAAAAAAACTAGTGGTGCTAAAACAGCACATACTTTCTTGCCTGTATTTTCATGCAAAGTTTCGCTAAAAATATTTAAGTTTTCTAAAAATTGTACATGACCTTATATCAAAATCTATCTTTAAGGGTAAAAATCTCAGTCTTAAATATTTTAGTTGTAGGAAGACTCCAAAAATTATTTGAACTTTTGCAATTTTCCAAATATAAGGGTTTTTAACAAACATGAGACCTGCACCATTCTCTTAAATGTCCTTTACATTATCCAAGTACAAAATTTAATTAAAAATGTAGCCGTTTTTATTTTGAAAATGCCCCAATGGCTTTATGTGAAGGTCTCCCTAAAATTAATATATCTGTTTCCAATTCAAGGAGCGGTGACATAAGCGAGATCTATTGGGAATTATCAATTTTGGACAAAATCGGCTGAACAGTTTAGCCCCTGGCGTTGTTCACAGACAGACATTTTGTCGTCATTCGTTTCCTTGGTTTCTAGAACCCACAAAACATGGATTCTGGCTAGAATTCGTGCCGGAGGGTTTTTTTTCTAAATTTAGCAACTGGATTTGATCACTTTTACTAAGGCCCTGTAATAAGCATTACATAACTTTCTCTCTAGTGCGTAAGTGGTAGCGAGAAAGTAATATCATAATTGTACTTGTAGGAAGAGACGGAAAAAAGTTTGAATTTTTTATATTTTCGAAAAATCAATGATTTCAACGAAAATCAGGTCTGCACCATTCTATTCAGGATATTTTATGCTATCTGACAACAATATTTAATTAACAAATTTAAATTTTGAAAATGTCACAGGCTTCTTGTAAAGATGCCCTCAAAATTAAAATATTGTATTCAAATTGAAGTGGCTGCAATATCATCCAGATCAATTGGGAAATGTCAATTTTGGAAAAAATCGGTAGAACGGTTTGGCCACTAACGTTCACAGACGGACAGACGTTTTGCTAATTTTTTGGTATAAAGGACTCGTATCAAGAACATGGATTCTGACTATACCACGTGTTAGAGGAGTTTGTTTTCTGTATTTAGCAACTGAATTTATCCTCTTTTTCAATATCAGGGCTCGGCAATTTAAAGCCTTTGTGTCGAAAATTAGCCGTTTTGTTCCGCAGTATTACAGAACTTACTCTATGCTATAGGCTCATCGCTCTGCGGTCGGCAGACTCTCAAGGCCTTCCGCGACAACGTATACACACGAAAAAGAAGGTACAACCATGCCCATGGCAGGACTCAAATCCGCGACCCTTTAGACCGAGTCGGCGCAGGCTCTAGCCTCCTCGGTGAACTATGTCGGCGACAATTATTACAATTCACAGAACTTCAGCTGCCGTCTTGCGGGGCGGAATGCCATTGTCGCATTCCTATCTCCTGAAAGCTAGCATATCTTTCATATTACATTTAAATCTTATTTTTAAGAGAAAAAACCTAATTGGACTAATTTCAATTAAGGTTTACGGATTGTTTCAAAGAAAATACAGCAATATATTGAGGTGCACATACGTCCCTCGCGACGCGAACAAAAAATATGGATTATGTCGGTTTTAAATAATTTCTAAAATATTATTTTGTATACGTTAACAAAAGTTCGAATGTAAGAAACGAACAAAGAAATAATTGAAATAATGTACTAATTTAACTGACGTAGCTTCAGACTGCCTCCAAACTCTTCTCTAATTACGTTCGCAAAGGGCAGGGAATTCAAAGCGGGCGACTATGTTAACGCCACATTACACAAAAAATATTTTTCGAAAATTTGGAAATGACATTTAAAGATTGTTTTTGATGAACATATTTCATTAAGAAACCAGTGGCCATAAACAGCACATATTTTCCCGTCTGTAACGGTTATGTAATATATCTCAGTGAATGAGCGCTGCCAACAATGTGCACATGCAGCGATCATTCAGGAGATATACATATGATCTACATGCTGCGTCATTCTCGCAGAAAGAGGGAAAATGGGACGGCCACCGCCTACAATGTGGCGAGACTGCGCACGCACAAGCCCCACCAATGCCAGTGTATGCACTTCCCGCGCAATGCGGAGCAGTGGGATGGGGAAAATATTTCCCAAATGCCAAACAAGTTCGCCTCCACTTTCCCCGCAAGCAGTGACGCCCAATGGAGGACCCTCCTACCACCGAGCCGACCAATTGTTACCCCGAATGGCGCCAACAAACCGCCCAACTCGCAGCCAAAGCAACAAGAATCACAAAAAGAAGAACCGAATTTATTTATTTACTTATTTATTTATTTTCATTTGGATAGGACAATACAAAGATCAGTGTTTAATACACTCTACATTTGTTATAATTACATGCTCAGCCGGGAGCTCCGCGCCACAACTGGGCGGATCAGCCTCAACCTGGCACTCGCAGACATTGCACACGCATTCGGCTCTGTCCCGCATGGGGCAATCGGGGTCGCGCTGGAGGCAGTGGGGTCGGTGGTGCCTTCACGGAAAAAGTAACAACTATATGATGGCACCACTACCCAAATAGTATCACAGAGGGCCTCTCAGATCACATACCAATTAGATGCGGCATCAGGCAGGGTGCCCACTTAGTGGACTCCTTTTTAATCTAGTTATGAATCCCGTACTACAAAAACTAGAAGAACAAACAGTCACCATCCCCCCCCCCAGTCCTAGCTTATGCGGACAACCTGACTGCCATGGCTAGAACCCCAGAAGACTAATTGCACACTAAAAGCATTAGGACTCGAACAAAACCCGCAGAAATGCTGTACATTGTACATAAAATAGAGCCGTGAATTTGAGGCTACATTACAACTTAATGACACCCCCATCCTCCTCATGACAGAGGGGGAAGCCGTTAAATACATAGGACAGCCAGTAGGATTTAATTCAGTCCTGGTCAGTCAGAGTCCTGGGAGGGGCTGAACGAGCAAGCCCGGTTATTAGATAATATAGCTGCATTTCAACTCCGGGACCATCAAAATCTCGATGCGCTGGCACAGTTTGCGGAGCCTGCCACCGTCTTTCGCCTCAGGCTCGGCCGCTATACAATTTCGGTGTTCCGTCAGTACGACAAGACTGTCCGGAATTGGGCTAGGCAGTTCTTGTCCCTCAACCAAGTCCCCTCCACCGCCTTCCTATATGCTGGCAGGAAAGACGGAGTCGTATCATTAAAAGCGGACGTATGGTCGGTCGACAGCGCGTATAAGCTGCTAACCAGCCCCGACCCGATGGTACGAATGGCCGCATTTGACAGACTGTCAACACGTGGACGCCAAGCGCGCTGGTATATGCACGTACCTCTGGAGGGCCCCGAACGACCGCAGCGCGCCTGGCAGGTCGATCTTCACCCTGGCCCTCCAAGCTTCGCGGCGGCTCGGGCTGTCATGGCGCCCTCGCGGGACTGAAGAGGACGGGGGCCTCCCGTGCGTCGAGCTGCCCGCAGAGTTCGCCATCCGCAGGCCGATGCGCCGCGCTGAATCAGAGGCGGGATTCGGATCTTTTATTGAGGGGCAAAGGATCTCCCCTCATAAGATGTTAAAATGTTCCCCTAAACCAAATGGCATTTGAGTAGTTACACTATAATTTCTACCATATATTCTACCATAAATATAATATTTTTGAAAGATTTCTTAGACCACGTCCCACCACCCACACCCCTCTACAGCCAGAAATGTGTTTTTTCGTCAACTTTACACTCTTTTATCTGATTGAAAAATATGAAAAATAACAAAATAATTTATACTATTAGAAAACATTTTTTTAAATATTTTCTCAGCGCCAAATTCAAACGCTAATTTTTCTGTTTTCTTTTTCAAAAAATGGTAAAAAATATTTTTTACTGTCTTTGAACCCTGGAACAGGATTGAACAATATCTCAGAGGTTCTCCTTAAAACACAAAACATGAATATGTTCAGATTTTTTTGATTGCTGAGCTGTAATTTAAAATAAAAAAATATCTTTTATTCGGTTTTTCTAAAAATAGAACTGAAATATTATTTTAAGAATATTAAAGAGCACTAAAACTTCGTCCTAAATTACAATTTTCTTTAAAAAATTTGCAGCCGTTTTTAAGAAAGTATGAGCGTTTCTGATAATGCGGAAATTTGAGCTAGTTTAAAAAAAAATTGTTGAGTTTTCGAGAATCTTAACTGACATTATTTAAAGCACATATACTCGTAAATACAACAATGGGAACAAATTGTCACTAATATAAATATTAACGACGTGAGAGACAATACAAAAAAAATTAATTTTTTGTAATTTTTGAAAAACCAAAAATATTGAGCAATATGGCGTGTATGTCATCTTAAAGAGCGCATTTAGCATTATCTCTACTAAAAGGTAAAAGGAAAAAAATTGATGCTGTTTTCGAGAAAATCTTGTTTTTGTGATTTTTAAAATTGTACATAATATTCCCATAACTGCGCGAAAACTACTAAAATTTTCAAAAAAAATCCATGACCTTCATGAAAGAACTCACTGTGCAGAACAATTTTCATTTGGAGGAAAAAAGTCTGCTTCCATTTTGCACTTGTAGGATGGCGCCTGAAAATTTCGAAAATTGAGAGTAAAATCTGAAAATGGGATCTAAGTCACCATTATAAGTATATTTTAGTCTATTCTTAAAAGAAATTTAAAGAAAAAATTTGGATCCGTTTTTGAGAAAATTTTGAAAACGGCATCGAAAGTTTCATGTAAAGTACCCTCAAATTTTATTTATTTTTTTCTAAATCTCAAACCTTTGACTCGAGCTAGATGGACAGTGGTTTCTTCAATTTTGAAAAATCCCATTTCTGGTTTAGGAACTAGTGGTTTTCACAGACGGATGGAAAGACAGACGGGGGTTAAAAAAAACAACACTTTTTCGGACTAAGGGAGCCCCAAAACGTGTATTTCCGTTGAAATCTCGAAATAGAATTTTCCGCAG